GCTGCGTCTGTCACGGCGGCAGCCCCTAGACACATTCCATGCAACAGAAACGCAGGTGCCACAGTTGAGAGCCTCCGTGGCCTCTGCTGAGCTTGTGGCCGCTGCGGGGACAGGGCAGGTGGCGATGGTTGCTGTCACCAGAGTTTTACTGGATGGTGCCTGCGCTAAGGTGGTGGTTCTCAGCAGGGCGCAGTGCTGTCCCCAGTGGACCGTCGGCGATGTCTGGAGACGTCATGGTAACAATAGGGGAACCGGAGGAAGTGGCTGCAGACCAGGGACGCTGTTCAATATCCTGGGGTGCACAGGATGGTCATCAGTCATCCAGCCCTGAAGTCGGTGGTGCTGAGGCTGAGAGACCTGTCTTGGCATGAGATGCTGGCTGTCTGTCTGTCTATCTATCTATCTATCTATCTATCTATCTATCTATCTATCTATCTTCTATCTGTCATCCATCTCCATGCTTCTCAACCAAGGGTAATTCTATCCCCCAAGGACACTGGGCAACATCTGGAAGGATTTTTGGTTGTCACAATTGTGGGGACAGGGTGGGGCTGCTGGCGTCCAGTGGGTAGAGGCCGGGGATATGTCATCCCCCTCCCCGGCCCCCCAGAGACTCCTCCAGCCCCAAGTGTCAGTAGCGCTCAGCTCGAGAAACCCTGATCCGGAGGCTGATGCGTCGTCTTTGATTTGTGGGGTGCGGTGACATCATCGCGTCCCATCCCGGATGCAGGGTAGGGCTGCGTGCTTATTAACCCGGCCCGCGGGCCCTGTGGACGGAGGAAGACCAGCCTTTGGTCTTCTTGGTAACAGGTCTGTCACCCAGGTGGTCCTCGGAGCTGCAGATAGGAGCTCCTGTGAGCAGCCAGGCTGAGCCGCAACCCCGGGCACTTCCTTGTGTGACATTTGTGAGTGTGTGGCGGGGGAAGGGGAGGGACTTCCTGTGTTCCTTTTGTCCTTTGTGACGGCTCGTTTTCTGTCTTGGAGAGCACACAGGAAGGATCCGTTCACAAATCATTTGTACGAGGCAGACTTGTGGCTCTTAAACGGCCTCTTCTGTTTTTTATCTTTTAAAACAGGACAATGGGGAATTGAATGTTGCTTGACGCGACAGAACGGTGAGGGAGGCACTGGGGTTTTTTCTTTGTGTTTTTGTTTTGTTTTGTTTTTTCTTCTTTTTTGTAAGCTGTCTAGACAAGTGAACTCACAAAACTAACCCCCTCCCCCAGGGCTGAGCTGCATTCGGTCCAGTTTATTCAGCTAATCTTTGAAAATAGTGCAGTTTTTTTTAAATCTTCATAGGATTATCCAAAGCACACATTCTTTTTTGTACATTTTTGATTATTGAGATGTGATATCTATTCCATACGATTCGGCCTTTTAAAGTGTGCAGTGCTGTGGCTTTAAGTTTAATCACAGAGGTAGCACACTTTTAAAAATACCATTTGAAATATTTTTTCCCCACCAAACAGAAGTTTTACTTGTGTGTGTCGCAATAATTTCAAAAATTGACTTTTTAAAGGAGAACGGGATGCTTTCAATAAACATTTCTTATTTCATACATTGCAGTTTATAATCTTTTCTGATATCACCACGAGGGGGAAAATGCCAAGACAAAGAACTGAGTTTTACAATCATAAAGTCCTATGGTATGACATCGTTATTTTCCAATAATTATGTAGTGTATCAATTTCATTGATCAGGTGAACTTAAACTTTACTAGTGTATAGCTTAAAGAGTCCCACAGTTCACAAATAAAAATTTAAGAGCTATATAGTGCGGTGGATCTCGGTTCTCGTCTCCATCTGCCCTCCCCCCATAATAAGTCCACTTAACATCTCACACCTCAGATTTTTCTCTTGTGATGAGAACTTTTACAACTTAATCTCTTACCGACTTTCTTTTTTTTTCTACGTGTATTATTACTATTTTTGAGTTATGGGTGGCATTCAGTATTATTTTATATTAGTTTCAGGTGTACAGTATCGTGGGGAGACATTTATAGAATTTACGAAGTGATCTTTGCAACTTTCGAATGCGATACGGTATTGTTAGCCATAGGACATTGTGTAGCATGTTACATTCCCCCAAACTTAATCATCTTAGGGATGGAATTCTGTCTTTTTTGACCCCTTTCACCCGTTTTGCCCCCATCCCCCCCACCGCTGGCAACTACCTGTCTGTTCTCTGTATCTAGGAGCCTGCTCTTTTCAGAGTCCACATATAATTGAGATCATATGGTATTTATTTTTCTCTGTCTGACTCATCTCACGTAGCAGAAAGTCCTCAAGGTCCGTTTGTGTTGTCCCAAATAGCAGGATTTCCTTTTTCATGGCCGAGTAATATTCCATCGTGTGTCTTATGGGGCAGAGGAGGGCTATCTGGCCATCCTTACCTGCAGCAAAGCTTAAAAAAAAACAACCCATGGGTTTTTTACTTTCAACCGTTCGATAATGTCAGCTGGAGATTGGCGAGCCACCCAACACCCAGCAGGAAACGCTCGATTTGTGCTTTTCCTTCCTTCTGTGCTAATGCCGAGTTAACACCAACGCATTCATGTTGGCTTTGTCTCCGGTGGATTTAAGCAGACCGAGTTGAAAATTACAGCCTGTCGGTTTTGTCCTTCTTGATCACACTTATGTCCTGTGTCGTGCTGTCATCGGCTGGCGCCGTTGAGAGACTGGCCGCGTCTCCCAGAGTAAAAACAAGGCATCTGTCGGCGTCAGTGCCCAAGGTCTGTGATGTGAGTTCTAAGTGTTTACAACTCAACACAGCTCGGAGAAAGAAAGCTTAAAAGACATCGCAGACAGAAATGGAATAATAATAATAATAAAATAACGTGTTGCTGTCCATCAAAACCTGTGTCACCTTTCACGTCGGCATAGTTCAGGGTCAAGTACAAATGCTAAAAAGACAAAATATTGTCTAGGAAACACCGTCAGGGAATGAATGGGCTCCTTAGTGCGGTCGAGAGAGATGAGTAAGAAGAAAAATACCAAGGAGTGGAAGAAAGATCAAAACACACAGCCTGCTTTTCGTTGCTAGAGTCTTCGTGCGCGGCCAGACATTGGTGCTTCATAGGAACCTGTCTATCCTGTTGGACAGAGGAACCACAGGAGACCAAAAAGCGTTCATCCGTTTGCCCAAGTTCATAGATCAAATCAAAGTCAAAAGTTGAGCTAGACCAGCGGTTCTCAACCTGTGGGTCGCGACCCCTTTGGGTCGAACGACCCTTTCACAGGGGTCGCCGGGGACTCGCATGTGGGCGTCTCTGCATGTGGGCCTGGAGACGGATAGAGGAGCGGTGTCTCGGTTCCTAAGACCGTCGAAAATATGTGTTTTCCAAAGGTCTTAGGCGACCCCTGTGAAAGGTTGAGAACCGCTGGAGTAGACGCTTACATCGCCCACTTCCATTCAAATGCACGTTACCCAATAGAAACGTCACTGTTTGCATATAAACACTTAAGCTTTGTCAGTTCACTCTCCCCAAAGCCTTTTCCCTACTGCCTCTCTTCTTTTGATCTCATGCCACATAATTTTATCCACATGATGCCACTTGACGCTAATACAACTCCATTTTTGTTTCCCAGTTATCTTTTCGTGAGAATATAGTTGAAAAAAATGCGTTACTCAACATTTGCTGCTTTTTTATTGTTATCGATGCTTTGTGATGTAAATATTTAAAGGTTGATTTTTTAAAATATTTTTTTCAGTTACAGTTGACATTCAGGAGTATTTTACATTAGTGTCAGGTGTTACAAGCATAGTGGGTAGACATTTATATATTTATGCAGTGATCCCCCCAAAAAAGTCAAGTCCCCACCTGCCACCGTACATAGTTATTCCAATATTATTGACTATATTCTCTTACACAACACTTTCTTCATTTTTGTAGATCTCTGCCTACTTCTGCTTATAATAAAATATTCATGATGAAAACATTGCGAAGCCAAGGTTACTTACCTGTCCTCCTCTACCTGCCATACCATTAGCTAATAGATTTATTTTACAGCTCGGGGCTTTTCATCTCATAGAAAATGCTAACAAAAAAGAAAAAAATTTGTATTGTTTGAGGATAACTTTGTTCTTGGTTTCATCTTGCTTGCCATGTGCAATTCCAGACTCGATAAAGAAAAAAAGGGTTGATTGCCACTTTTTCCAGTCAGGATGCCCTGTGAGTGGACCGTTTTCTACATTTTTGTGCTCAGGAAGAAGAGCTTTCCTCCTGCATTATTTGCTAGACTGATAGGGACAGAAAAGGCAGCCGCCATTTCTAAGCATCCTGCGTGCCGGACAGCCAGAGGCGCACACAGATAGACTTGCATTTTTCTGCCCCTAGTTTCTCTCTCCTGTGGCCATAGACAAAACCCCTTTGGACCTTTGATTTCACAGCTGCAGCAAATGATTGCCAGCCTGTGTGACGGGTAGAAGGCGGGGTCCATGCGAGGCTCAGAGGAAAATGCCCCACCTGGGTACAAAAGAGGGTTTGCTTCCCTGATATCCTTGCATCTTTGTAGTGGTTGCAATTTTTAAATTGTCCCCTCACCCTGGGAATACCAGCATCTCTCTCTTCCAGTCCGTGGCCCATTTTAAAATAAAACACCAAGCGTTTTGGGCAGACGTCAGTGTTGCAAAAGAGCGTTTGTGTGTAAGGTCACGTACCCTGTCTTTAAGTAGAAAGCCCAGAGAGGAAAAGGCACGTTGAAGGGATGCATTTCGCACGTTTTCTCGTTGTACCTCTCCTTGGACGTGTGGGCTTGTGAGCGTGTTCTCTGGGGTGACTCATTGGCACACACGATGGCCCCCGATTAAAGAACATTTCAGAGGCAGGCGTCTTCTGTGTGTGTGTGTGTGTGTGTGTGTGTGTGTGTCCGATGTGCATTCAAACGAAAACTCCAAGCATGAGGCTTCTCAGCAGACGTCTCCCGCAGGACTGACAGACGGGGTGCGCCCGCGGGTGCATCCTTGATCCCAACGCAGTGTGGCTTCTCCTCCCCCTGCAGGCACTGGCACGTTCGGGCGGGTGCAGCTCGTCAGGCAGAAGACGGCCAAGCGTTTCTTCGCCTTGAAGGTCATGAGCATCCCAGACGTCATCCGCCTGAAGCAGGAGCAGCACGTGCACAACGAGAAGTCGGTCCTGAAGGAAGTCAGCCACCCGTTCCTGGTCAAGCTGTGAGTACGCCTCGGGCCCGCCCTCACCGCTCCTGCCGGTCGCCGGGGCCCCGCGAGGTCCCACCTGAGAGAGAGCTCTGCTGCCGAAGGTGCCCGCGTGCTGCCGCACAGGCTGCCGAGCTGGGGCGGCCTGGCCCCCACGCACAGGTGGTGCTTCTAGAAGTGTCTGCCCTGCTCGGCCGGTGCGACACCCGCCGGGGCGTGGGTGGCCCTGCTGGAGACTTGTCACCCCCCTTCCAGCAGGGTCCGCTTCTCTGGCTCCCTGGAGGGCCGCCTCAGTTGGGTTTTGGAGACGCCCGTCCCCTTCTCAGCTTTAGTCACTCAGGTCGTTCCTCGGGTTTCTAGTTGACTAGCAGATGTCTGTTTAGACGTCGCGCACACTCCTGCAGGGGAGGGTGCCCAGCGTGACGCGGACACATCCCTCTGCCCCCACGCTGTTTGCTGGTACAGAGGGAGACCATTGCCCACCCGGGGGTCAGACATTCGGACGCCCACACGCGGCTGGTGTCCCTGGCCATGGCCGCCTTCCTCTGTCCCCTCCTCAGCCCCTGCCGGGCCCAGGTCCCCTTTCTCTGCCCCGATTTTCTGCCTCAGCCTCCCCGATGCTGTTGCCCGCCCGCACCTTGCTTCCTTCTGAGGCGTTCTTCGCCTCACAGCCGTGGCACCCCTCCCCACAGACCTGGCCGGTGAGCTGCGCCTCTGCTTACAGGCCGGAAGGGACCTGACCGGGCTCCCGGTGACACAGTGTCCTGTCGAGGGCACCTGCCCTTCTCCGACACCCCTGCCCCGTCGAGACAGCTGTCCTCTGCCATGGTGTTGAAGCATCTTGCGTGTACCCCAACACGGCGGGGGGTAACACCCCTAAACTCAGACACCAGAACAGTGTCCTCCAAGCCTGAGATGGCGTCCTCCCCAGAGCGGGGACGGGCGGCACATTTGATGTCAGGGAGAAGGGACGCAGCTCACTTTTTGTTTTACTTTCTTTTTATGGCGTGAAAGGGCGGTTTTGTGCCCAAGATGAGGGTCTCCCAAGACTCTCATGCTTTTGAGTCATAGAAACAAAAGTGGCACCCGCAGCGGGGCCGCCACCCGTCCCCCGTTGGGTCCCAGCCCGCACTCGGCCAGCGGGGGGAAGACGGTGCAAAGAAGCACACGCGTGTAGTCGACCTTTCCCTGGGATGGAGAAAGGTTTGTAGTCACGGGTCGTCCATCGTCTGAAATGGTGATTCTGACAAAGGACGTTGTCCACTAGGGTTGTCAGCAAGTGTTTTCTAAAGGAGATGTGGACGTCTCTGTCACACCGCCAACTTGTCCGTGTGTGTGTGTGTGTGTGTGTGTGTGTGTGTGTGTGTGTGTGTGAGAGAGAGAGAGAGAGAGAGAGAGAGAGAGAGAGAGAGAGAGAGAGAGAGAGAGAGAGAGAGAGAGAGAGAGAGAGAGAGAGAGAGAGAGAGAAAGACGGGAGAGAGAGAGAGAGAAAAACGGGCTTGGGCTTCACCAAACGCAGGGCACGCTCCGGAAGGTGCTTTGCACCTGAGTTCTCCCAGGAAGGTGCGCGCGCCTGGCCTGCTGGCGTTGCCTCTGTGTGCGGTGACATTGGGTGACGTGAGGAGAACAGGAAAGCCAAGCAAATAGAATCGACGGTGAACACGCGTCCTCTCAGGCGCTGCTGTTGGGAAGGAATCAGCTTCGAGAAGAGCGAGGCTCCCAGTGGGAGGGGGCCTCCCGGCAGCGAGAAAAGGGAGCTCTGGCGAGGACAGTTCGTCCCATTGCATGGATTCTGGGGTGCAGGTGCACCCTTCAGGCAGCGTTAGGGTGACATCGGAGGGTGTGCATGGGCCCGTGGGTGAGGGCCTGCAAGTGCTTGCAGTTCTACTCCTGTGCAGGTGGCATGGGGTCCCGCCCCAAAGATGTGTTCACACCATCACGCCCATACCCGCAACAGGCCTTTCTGTGGAAACGGGGTCTGTGTGGATGGGACTGAGTGAGGGATCTGAGAGCAGGGCGTCTTGGATCAGGGGGGCCCTGAACCCAACGAGTGTCCTTATCAGGGACAGAAGAGGAGGGACACAGACACAAAGGGGACGCCACACGGAGACGGAGGCAGAGATGGGGGGGAGGCGGCCACCTGCCCGGGGACGCCTGGAGCCCCCAGGAGCTGGACGGGGCAGGAGGGACCGTCCCCTGGGGCCTCCGGAGGGAGCGCGGCCCTGGGACAGCTTGGTGGCAGCCTCCTGGCCTCCAGGACGGGGGAGGATGTGTCCCTGTGGGTATAAGCCACCCAGTGTGGGGCACTTTGTTGCAGGAGTCCCGGGAGATTTGATACGCACCCCGTTGTCACCTCCTGGAGCGGGGGGTCAGCCGAGGCGATGGGCAGGGGAGGGTTTTTTTTTTGGTTTTCACACTTCAGAAGTCTAAAGTCCCAAAAAGCCCCATGAGTTGGGGGCGGCGGGGAGGGGCGTGTGGAGTGTTCACGTCACCGTTTCCAGGATAGAAGTCTTGGACTTTGGGGAGTTAAAAAGGAACAGGGACAGGACGGAGCTTGCCAGTCTGAGCTTCCGTGAGAGGATCTGCTGTCTGCGGCCAGGACCCGCTCACCAGGAACCACTAACCAGAACCCGCTCACGGTGGCCTTCCTTATCGGGCGGTGGAGTCTAGAACACACAGGGACGCGTCCTGACCTTGCTGTGTCTTGTCCTCAGTGGCATATCTAAGCCGTGTGTCTGTTTATACATTTAGAAATTATTTTACTTTAGAAATAGAAAGCATCCTGCAAGAAAAGAAAACAAAATATTGACAGAAGCATGCACAAGGACCTAAGTGGTTGAGATCGCAGCGTCTGTGAGCTCTAGGTTCGTGGGAATGCACGCTGACCCCAGGTTATCTGAATCGGCTTGATTTTGTCTTTGAGGGAGTGTGACGTCTCCACACCTTCCTCCACGATCTAAGCGTTTGCATGTGACCTTGAGTTTCCTCTTGCTGCCCCCACACTCCCGGGTGCAGGTCACAATCCAACGTCGTCTGTTTATGCCTCACATCCAGCTGGGGGCGCGGCCAAAGGCAGGAATTTTCTCTTGTCCTTTAGTCTGCTTGGAACCTAACCGTCATTTCAATATTCTCAGGGGGACAATACTCACCAGTTTGGGGGAAGTACACGGTGGGAGCGCCTTTAACCCCCCCCCCCGATGTTGGTCAGTGTTCCTTTGTCCACAGCACTGATACTGCGTGTAACACAAGGCACGCTGTGGTGGCCTCAGATCTTGTGAAATGCGTAGGGTCTCGGCACGTTATTGTCACAATGGATCCTGTAGAGACCTAGCCGTGACGTGAATTTCCAGGCCACCTTTATCCAGAAAAGATGGAAAAAGACTGTGCCCATTGCATTACTTCACTGAGGCCACCACAACAAGGTCCCTCAGACCAGGTGGCTGACACAACACACATTTATTCCCTCCCAGTCCTGGAGGCTGGAGTCCGAGATCCAGTGTCCCAGGGCTGGTCCCCCCCCGAGGCCTCTCTCCTGGGTGTGCAGACGGCCGTATGCTCTCTGTGTCCTCACATGGCCGTCCCTCTGTGTGTGTCTGTGTCCTCACCTCCTCTTCTTATAAGGACACGGTCCTATTGGGTCAGGGCCCACCTAGTGACCTCATGTCACCTTAGTCACCTCTTTAAAGCCCCATCTGCAAACAGTCTCCTGTGGAGGTCCTGGGGCTGAGGACTTTGCCATGTGAGTTTCGTGGGACACAGTTCAGCCCCTAAGACCTACTTAGTGACCAGCTGAGGGTTTACCCCTCAGCGCACATGGCTGTTATTATAATGCACTCGCAGCGTCCTTTTTTTCTGGGCATTGTCACGTGAGGGACCAGCTCTGTTGAAAAACCGGATTTGAGGTGGACCTAGTGTGGCCCGGCTTCCGGGGACACGGACAGCCCGCTGCATCTGGCCCGCGTCCTGGATGGACGCGGAAGGTGGCCAGCGCCACAGGATAAGGGACGTGCTGAGTGGGAAAGCGCCGTTAGCGAACAATGCCTTGAATCCCTCAGGGGTGCCGAGGGTCTTCGCACTGGGGCTCGCCTCCCCCAGCACCCGCTCCCCAGGCTGCCTTTCTGCAAACCCCACGCCAACCTGGTGCTGCTAGGTCAGGGCACTCGTTAAACACGCATGGAAGGACAGCGTTCTGTTCGGGGAGGAAGCCGTGTCCCAAGGCCAGCTCCGCCAGGGAGAGATCATTCAGAACGGCCAAGAACCTCAGGGTCCTGGGCGTAGAAGAATTATGACCAAGTCGCAACGTCTAGGGAAGAAGGCTGGCAGTCTCCCCAGACACCAGCATCTCGTGATCACCCCTCACCCTTTCCGCACGTAGAGACAGCTGACGTGTTACGAGATGTTTGGGCCCAGAAGAACAGGGGTTCTCAGCCTCGGCGCTGCTGGCGTCTGCGGCAGGTAGTTCACTGTGCCGGGGGCTGTCCTGTGTGGTGTGCCACGGTGAGCGGGGTGACCCTGGGCCAGTGGCACCCTCCCCTGTAGTGATGATGAAAAGTGTCTCTCAACATTGTCAGAAATTTCCCTGCAGGTGAAATTGGCTCCTTGATGAGACTACTGGCATGTGTAGGTGGATGGATGGATGGATGGATGGATGGATGGATGATGGATGGATGATGGATGGATGGATGATGGATGGATGGATGGATGGATGGATGGATGGATGGATGATGGATGGATGATGGATGAATGATGGATGGATGGATGGATGGATGGATGGATGATGTATGGATGGAGGATGGATGGATGGAGGATGGATGGATGGATAGATGCATGAATAGATGAATGATGGATGGATGGATGGATGATGGATGATGGATGGATGATGGATGGATGGATGGATGTGTGGATGATGGATGGATGGATGGTGGATGATGGATGGATGATGGATAGATGAATGATGGATGGATGGATGGATGGATGGATGGATGGATGGATGGATGGACGATGGATGATGGATG